TCTGTGCCTCTTACGGTACCAACCCCGCTGCATCCCTGCGGGCTGCGCTTTGGTCCTGCTGCTTTACGGCTGTCACTCACACTGCGGCTTTCTAGTCAACAGCAAGCAACAGCGTGGAGAACAAGGCAAAATTTTTCCTGTTTTTCCTTCTGTTTGTATGCATTATTACTGTGGCAAAGCATTAGGTCAGCTCACTACAGGGCAGCCTTACTAAAAATAGAGCCTTCGCAAGTGGATCCCGAGCAGCGGAGCTACCCTCCGCGGCCGCCGGGGGGCAGAGCGGCCCCAGCGCGCTTCAAGCCGGACCCCTTCTCCAGCCGTATCAGCGGTCTGATCTATTTAGATTTTAAAATATGGGTGACAGCCTCGGTCTGACACTAAATTACTCAGTGTAGTTTCTCTTCAACAAGTATTTCTAATCCTATTCACGTCAAAGCCTTAAATATACAATCCAATACCAGCATAATATTCGTTTTCAACAGATTCAGGTAAGAAAACTAAAGGTCTAGTGAATAAAATATAGTAAATATATCAAGATAAAAATAAAAACAAAATACAAGAAATGGTAAAAGATAAATATCTTTAGACTTTTATAATTTAGACATTTATCAGTTTAATCTCTTATTATTTATAGACTCAAATATACCATCCATTTTAGCGGCTATGAAAAGATTACCTTGCTTTTATATGAAAGACATGGACATGTCCAGGTTTTGTTTGCTTGCTCTTCGAGACCGGGCTCACCGTGTGGTCCAGGCTGGCCTTGAACTCACAGCCACCCACCGCCTCAGCCCCTGAGAGCTGGGGTTCGAGCCCGAGCCAGCGGCCAGCTAATGTGTTTAGTTTGTAATGATTATTAGCAAGCTATCCTTCGCGTCTTGAAAGCTCTCTGTGGGAAAGGGCAAGAGCAGAAAACACTAATCCTACTCATGAGTATTTGGGTAGAATACGACATAAATATCGGTTCAGTGTTCTATAAGCTCTAACCAGTTCACGAGAGGAGCCTGTTACTCGTCGGTAAACTCCTGCTTTACAAGCAGGCTGAAGCAGAGGCCCAGCCAGGGCTGCTCCGGAACCTGCGCCTCTGGCTTCCTCAAGCCATCTCCCCCAGGCAGCCTCGGGAACCACGCACCCGGAGGCCTCGCCTGCCTCAGCTCTGCTGACCTCCGTGCAGGCTGCGCGCCCTGCCCTGGCTGGGGCGTTAGCGGGTGTGACCTCAGAGTGGTGCTGCTCACGAGGTCCCAGGCCAGGGCCACTCTCAGAGGCCAGGACAGCGCGGGAGCCCAAGAGCTTCGTGTTGGGCCTGGACTCTAATTACTGCTGCTCCTCCCACTCACAGAAGCAGCTGCAGCCTGCGTTTCGGACGGGGTCACGAGAAAGCGCCATCCAGGCCCCGAGAAAGCTGGGGCTGCCATCACTGATGGCATCGCTGTGAGGCCCACAGAGAACACCAAAGTGTCTCTTTCCTGGAAGTCTGGTTGTGCTGGTCAGTGCTGCAGAGGGCAGTGCTTGGGAGCCTGGACAGGCAGACCCTGGCCACATGGGAGAGCGAGTTAGGGGGCTCCCGCCTCTGGACAAAGGGCAAAGCTTCGAGCGTCAAGTTCACGGGTATCCACTCATTTCATCTCCGGTGTCTCCAGAGTGCTCCTTGATTTCTCCATTTTCTCTTGTAAGTTCAATTGAATTACTAAGCAAGGCTCAGCAAACCTGACAAGGTGCTCTTCCCCTCTAGCAGTACTGGGCTCCTGTAATGTCCGGGTCTCTGCTGCGGATTCCAGGGTTCTGTTCCCCTCACTTGGCTGTTAAATGGTCGTGTTTCCGCAGCTCCGTGGTCCTCTTAACCTCTCCATCGTGTTCTTGCTCCTTCTGTGATGATGCGCCTGCTATTTTCATCTTTAGATCTCTGTCCGAGCTTCAAGCTTGCACAGTCAGCCTGATGCGGGCCTCGCGGAGACCTAACCCACCGCCTCCAACCTCTTTGGCATTTTGTGGTCTCCATCTTAGAAAGCCCCCTCTGCTCAGATCAGACTCCTAAACCAGGATACTATCCCTGAGTTTTCCCTTCGCAATCCCCGCACTGACTTCTCTGTCTACTCGACCATCTCTCCATACCCACTGCCTCTCTTACTGAAGCCAGCGCTGAACTCTGCCGGGATCACTAGACCCAGGAATCTGCCAGCGGCCAGCTAATGTGTTTAGTTTGTAATGATTATTAGCCTGCACGCTGCCGCTCAAGCCTGCACGAGCGGCCTGGCGCTCCCCCGCCCCCCTCAGAAGTTCCTGACGCCCTAGGACAAAGTTGGGGCTTTCAGCACCCCACAGTCCACAAGGTCCGATTCTCCACTCATCACGGCTCCTTCCGACAGCTTGAGGAGCCCCAGCGGGCCTGGAGTCTTTGGTTTTCTCTGGGTTTCCGAGACTTACTTTCCTTCCTCCCAGAACGCTCTCCACTTCCTTGGCCTGCCCACAGGTCCCTTTCGGACACCACCTGGACATCACTCCGCGCCTGGACAGCTCTTTCCCGCGTCTGCGGCTCTCCGGACCGGACTTGTGACCGCCTCTGCTCCAAGCAGTGACCTTCCCACCTCGCACCCCGTCCAGAATTCCCGCCCGGGAAGTGCCTTTCTCTTCCCTCGCTGCCGGTGCGCAGGCCGCGGAGGGCAGGGCTTCGGTGGACCCCGAAGCCTCCAAGCGCGAACGCGGCACGTGCAGCCCGCCGCCCCGCGGGAACATCTCCGGGCTCCCCGCGCACCGCACCTCGGGCTCTCGCAGGCCGGGAAAGCCTCCTGCACAGGCTGCGTCTTTCCAGCCGCGTGCAGGGCTCCTTCCTCTGCTTGCCAGCGAGGGTAGGAATGGGCCCCCGCGCCCCGCCGTCGGGCGCTGCCACCCCCAGGCCTTCCCTCCTCGGGCACCGCGCTCCTCTGCTTGCTCTGATGAGCCCTCCGCAGCCCGGCATTCCCAGCACAGGCGGGCTGGGTGGCCCTCCGCTCTTGGCCTTCCGCTCTCCGCCCACTGCCCTGGGTAGGGGCGCCCGGGCAAGGCTGCGCTGCCTTTAGATGCCCACACGGTGCCCAGCCCCCAGGGGACTCGCGTTTTTACCACTGTGAAATCACTCAAACAGATTAACTCTGCTTCAGCTGCTCTTGAGAAGAGACGGAAAAAAGTCAGGGAAGGCGAGCAGGGTGCGTGGAACCAGGCGCGGGTGCGGGGACGCGCGGATGCCGCGGCTCGGGACAGCTCAGCATGGAGGCCGGCTTCCCCGCAGCCCGGTCCTCTGCGCGGGAGCTGCGCGGGAGCCCCGCCGGAGCAGAAAAACTCCTAACCCTAACTCATCTCTGGCAAGAGAGCACTCAGGATAAAATCACGAATAACAATCAACTATGACCTTTAAAAGGCAAGGTCCGAATAAGTGCTTCTCTGGCAAGCGCAAGGACCTGAGTTCAATCCCTGGTTCCGCCAAAATAAATAAATACATAAATAAAAATAAATAAATAAATAAATAGGCAAGGTCCATGCATGGTCCAGGCCTAAACTTCCTGAATGTAAATTCCGGCCCCGTTGCTTCTGCTTCTGTGAGGCTCGGCGACCTGCGGGCTTCTCCTCCCGCAGTGGGAACCAGGTAATGGGCACCTCGCGCCTAGGGCTGCTGTGGGCAGAAAGCGCTTAAATACAGAAAGTATTTAGGGCAAGGCACGCTCGCAGAAGCAGCCATTGTGAGCTGTGATTAGCGTTATCTTAAATGGTGTCTGTTTAATTAATAATCAACATTATAATCTGCTCTTAGATTATAAGAAAGGACCCCTGAGACAGACTGTGAGCTTTAAGAAGACTCTTAAATATTCTAAACTACTTGAGTATTAATATAGGAACAGCTGAACAAATAAGCCTGTCCTGAAAGACCACAGTTGGTGCTAGGTTCCAATTAAGACCTTTTAATTCCAATGATGCACTTTGCAAAATTACTTATAATTTTATTTCTCCATTTTCACATTTATAAGTACCCTACAATTAGGGTATGGGTTAACCAACAAATGATTATCAAGGACTCTGAAAATCTAAAAACTGAAGGAACAAATTATCTTATAAGAACCTAATTTATTAATAATATAGCATGTTATGCTAATTCTTATAATGCTTTCTAACTCTAGTCCTTAACTTCTAAATTCTTAATTTTTCCAAAGAACATTATAAAATTATGTATAAATTTCAGAATCTGGTTGGTTGAGTTAGAGTACGGTCAGATTTAATATGTGAATAAAATTACAAAGTTATATCTTATAATCCTAAAACCATTATCATCATTGCTAAAAAGGCAGCCACTTGAAATTTTGAAATATTAGTGTATCTATTTGACAATCTGATCTTAAAATGCTATGTAATGATATTCATTAAATTCCAGCTTAGCAGGCACAAAGATGATTCTCAAAAGTTCTGATGCAGCCTGTAATTCTTGACAAATGAGGAGAGCTGACTCCGCTAGAGTGCAAGCGTGGCCAACCTCAGGTACGTCTGCTCTGGGAAACAGAGGAAGCGTGGAGGGGTAAGAGCCCGTGTGTCCCGGAACATTGCTTCAGCTTCCTTTCCCACGAATATTTACCACAGTTACCAGGCTAATTTCCATTTCAACTCCTTTACTTTTTAAATATGATGAATGATGAGGTGGCTTAATTAATAAAAAGCACCTACTTAGAACAAGCTAAGCTAAGCAAAGCACAGGGACCACAGTTCAATCCCCCAGCACCACATGCCAGCCCACCCCGCCCCCTGGTGGGCTGAGCTGGCCACACACAGACACTAAATAAATAAATAAATAAATATTTAAAAAAAAAGAAGGAAACATAGGATGGAAGGGCAGCACAGCAGCGCACCCTCACTGCCTGGAGCTAGCTGCACAGCTCTGCCTTCAGCTATGAGCTGCCAGGACCCACCCTGCCCCACCCCCTCTCCCCTCCTGCCCTCTGCCCTCCCCACCCCCAAACCAACAGAGGCCCCTTCAGTACCTGGAAGAAGCCTGGTGGCACAGGGCCTACTGGCATGCCATCTCCCGGGGGGATGTTGCCCAGCACAGGGCTGGGTGCTGCTGCTGCGCTCTGTGAAGAATAAAAGAGAAACAGACTTGGTCATTGCAGAGTGGCACCATGGGAGCTGCAGGAGGTAGGCACTGTTCACCAGAAGCATGTAGGGAGGGGACAGAGGGGTGGCGATGTCCAGTATGGCTGGACAGGCTTTATCAGCTGTGAGAAATCAGAGGACCTTCCCGAGACAGGATACTTGAAGGATAGGAATGTGGCAAAATGACAAAGGTGGGGTGCCTGGTTTACTAGGTTCAGGCCCTGGCATCTGAAAAGGCAGGTTCAATCCTGAATGGGTCAGTGTCTTGGTAAGAAGTTTGAAGGTGGTGATTGTGGCAGTTGGGAAAAAAGTAAAACTCATTTTAGGTTATGCTCTTCTGTTATCAACAAGGCTACTGCCTCTCCACCTACAGAGGGCAACGCGTCATGCACTTTCTCTGCTACTACAACATGGAGCCAAAATGCAGCTATCGGCTGACAAAGATCAAATTGTAAGCACGAGATTGGAGAAGAGAAAATATCAGGCTTGGAGACGTTAGCTTGATACAAATTATGGAAACAGCAGATTAGACAACTCCAAGTCTCCTGTACTTATGCTTGACTGCACAGAATCCCAGCATCTCATGAAAGAGGAGCATGAAAACTTTTGGCTTAGGTTCTTTGTACCCAAATCAAGGTCACTGACTCAGTAATGAAATGCAGTAGTCACGTCTGCGAGTGCCCTACCGATATGGCCTTCCTCCCTCAGCCTGCTTAGGCACAGTAAAACACTGGGGCTCCATAAGAGATGAGGGAAGAGCAACCCTACGCGCAGTCATTATGGAACACAGCGGGGAGGGTCCTTAAGAACCAAAATGAGAACTACTGTGTAATCCAGCAACCCCTCCACTGTACCCAAAGGCAAAGGAGTCGGTATGCGGGAGCGACCTCTACATGCATGTATCCTGCAGCCCTGTTCATTAGAGCCCAGGTGTGCGGGTAGCCTGCACAGCCACTGGTGGGTGAACAGAGAAAGAAGATGCAGTCATGTACACGGTGGAGTGCTGTTGGGCAGAAGAAAGATGAAAGCCCATTACGACCGGCAGCATGGGTTAGCCTGGGGACATTAAGTAAGGAAAGCCAGGTGTACACAGGGACCTTGTGTGATCTGACTCATCTGTGAAATCTAAGGTCAACCCCAAAGATGTTGAGAGAATGTGGCTACCAAGGCTGCCTCTAGGAAGCAGACAGGTTGACCAGAGAGTGCAACATGCTAGAACATTCTAGTCAGAGATGAGGAACAGGGTCTGGTGTGTTGCTGCACGGTAGGGTGGAATGCAGTTAAGAACAATACATTACATATTTCAAAGTAATGAGAGGATTTTAACTGTTTTTGCCACAAGGAAGAAGAACTGTACCAAAGACAGGTCAGTTTGACTTTAGCAGTTCAGCTATTAAAAGAACTCTAAAAAGGCCTTCATCCAGTGTACGCCGACAGTCTGTACCCGCATGTACCTGCACCTTCAGGCAGTGACGGGCTGTTAGAAAAGCTAAGCTCTCACATGGGTGCCACAAGAGCTGTGTGCCTGTTTGGCAACACACCATTCACTTTTGCATCAACTATATCAGGTAGCCAAAATGTAACTCAGCTGGCAAAGACCAAGAGGCAAGTGTGAGATCAAAGAAGAGAAAAAAATCACGCTTCAATAAATTAGTATGAAACAAATCATGAAAAACACAAGATTAGAAAATTTGAAGTGTACTGCATTTACAAATGCACAGAGCCTTGGCATCTCATGAAAGAGCAGTGTGAAAAATTCTGGTTTATGTCCTTTATAACCATGTTGTACATATATTTATACCAAATCTTCTTTTCCTAGTATGCAAATTGATACAAAACTAGGCATGTTTGTTCTGAAGCCCTTGCAGTTCTTAATAACTAAGACTAAAGATTTTAGTCTCTCCCAAAGCATAACTTCACATTTGGTTATCTGGCCGGGCTGCTAGTACACTGGTAATCCCAGCACTCAGAAGGCTGAGGCAGGAGGACCGTTGTGAGATTGAGACAAACCTGGGCGACAAAATGAGCTAAAGACCAGCCTGAACTGCATAGCAAGACTCTGTCTCAAAAAGTCATAGATAAATAAGTAAAAATAAATAAATGTGGTTATCTGAAATGTTGCTTACCTACAAATGCCAAAATTTTAAACCTTTGACAAAATATGTGAATATAAATCAGAAATTTTTTTAGGCTGAAGGTGAGACCTTAACGTATGGTCCTATGTCAGGCAAGCCAGGCAGCTAACAAATACATACCACCTGGTAGTAATCTATTCTGTTCTGTAGAGCAGCATTTATGTTCTCAAAATAAGAGACAAACTGCTTTTTTTCACTTTAACTAGACTTGTGCAAAATTTTAACACACATTATTAGCATAAGGCAGGAAATTATAACCAAACACTTTTAGTTTAAATATGTATGATTACAGCTAGATCTAGGAAGTGAGATTTGACTGCACACTTACGGCTGCCAAGCACTGCCATGTGGAAGGCGCGCGCGACACCAAAAGCTGGACAGTAGTGTCATCATTATTCTAACTCAGTGTGGAATAGAAAGTTGTTCTGCCATAAAAAGATGCATAAAAGAGACAAATCTGGGATCTCATTGGCCTGTTTTCATAGAATCATACACTATGACACTCTGCATATTTGCAGAGTAACACTATTCATTTGCTTACTACAACTTTAGTATAGATCAAAAGTACTTCTCCAGCACTTCTAATTGCCTAAAAAGTGTATTAAAAAAGTATGACCAAAATTGGGAGTGGGGCAGGTCCACCTGCATCTAAGCCAAAATTCAGCAGGTAAAGATATTGGTAAAGAAACAGGTAAAATTCAGAGTTAAACATCTGGCTAATTGCTTTTTTTTTTTTTTTTTGCAAATTACATTGTTTAAAGGGATGTAGTGTTTTACTTTCCTGCTATTTAAAACAAATGAAATGTTTTAAATTTGATTCGAATGAAGATTTTAAGCAAACTAAATCTTTACCTTTTGCCTGTTTATATTATACTCTAAAGATTATTTTAATGAATTTAATCAAAATCCTCACTTTCTTTTTTCTGTATAGTCAAGGACCCTTTGAAAGTCTCCAATATCACAGTTAACAGGAAAAAACCTCTACCCTCCTAAGGAGAATATTCTAGTAAGAGGAGAATGACAAAAGTAACCAAATCTACTTATCCATGATTGGAGGAGAGGGAAAAGCAAGCAGGGAATAGAGGATTCCCAGTAAAGAGAACGAAGATCACATTTCACTTAGGAATGGCCAAACTAAAGAAATGGCGGCTCAGAGCATCTTGGTTACTTTTCTCATTGCTGGGACTTCATACCCAGTGCCCAAGTTGAAAGCAGGAAAGCTTGCTTTCAGCTCCATTTGCAGGCGTCTCAGGCCCTAGCTGGCTGGCTGGCTCCAGGCAGGGAGGTGTGGCTGAGGGAGGTGGAGGACCAACAGTCCATGGCTGGAAGGCAGGAGGCAGCAAGCAGCAGCAGCAGCAAGCATCCCCCTCTCTCTGTCCCTTGTTCCTTATCCAGGCTCACCAGCCCTAGGGCGGGAAGCACACACACGGGGATGGTTAGCCCTAATCCCAGCATCACATCATGAACCAATCCCAGTACCACAGTTCTGAACCTATCATCACACATGCATGATCCAGGCACCTCTAAGAGCCCACCTACAACTGCTGAAGCTCTGGCGGACATTTATAGATAAGCCATAACACAAGGTAGAGTGGCTACTGATTTATTGTTATTATTATGTTTATTGAGAGAGGGTCTTGCTATGTAGTTTAGTTTGGTCTTGAATTTGCTATGTAGTCCAGGCTGGCCTCATCTTGCTTGCCGGGAGCCTGGGATTATAGGTGTGAGCCACCACGCCCAGCTACTGATTGAAGTGTTCATCTTTCTCTATTATTGGGTCTCCTCCATGCATTTCAAGATGCATCAAATTCTTACATTTCATTTATTTCCTAACAGATTTATAATAATTTTATAAAGATTTTTTTTAATATTCATAATTTGGGCAAAACTGTCTTGAAAGCCAGGTGTTTGATGACCTTTCTGTAGCCCGGTGAGCCAGTTATCTGAGGAGACTGCACATTCTGTCCTTGGTGAAGGAGCCTGAGGTAGGCAGACCTCCGCAGCTGGCTAGTGCACACAGGGGAAAGCACTGGTCCACGTCACTGCAGCCAAGCTGCTTCGGGACTTAGTTTGAGCTCAACTATCTATCTGTCCTGCCAGGGTCATCCGCCAGGCCCTGTGGCTGCTGTCCCGAATGACAGCCTGCAGCACTGCCCCAAAGACGAGGTGATCACTCGGCCTGTCTCACCAAGGTCTGGCAGGGGCAGGATGTGAGTTCCCGAAGTGCTTGCCTTGCTAACTCTGAAAGCAGCCATGGAACAAGATCTGCTCTGAAGCTGTGGGCAGAATGGATCTGCTCTCGGGGTGGGGCCTCCGCGGCCGCCGGGGAGCCCTGCACTTCCTGGGTGTCCCTGCTGGAATTCTCTGAAGCTGGGCTCTAGCTTTCTTCCAAACATGAGACAACTTTATCCATGAGCTAAGGAGCAGAGAAAGTGGTCGGCCCTGATCACAGCACATGCCGTTAGATGGTGCAGCAGCTAACTCACAACAGTTAATTGTATTAAAACTTACTACAAAGCATTAGTTTCACTGGATTTATATGAATTCCCATCAGAGCACCATGGAAAATCCTTTATTATGTAATACTTTCATGATTATTTAGGGTTGCCTTTTCATTATAGCTCTCTTTTCAAAGAAAAACATAAATAATATGGCTTTAAATGTTTCTTCTGAGTGAATATATGACTTTACGACAGATGGAAATATATTATCATTAAAAGTGCTTTGTCTCGTCTACTGGATTAATTTGTATGCTTTAGTGTATTTTCAGACATGCATTTTCTAGTACACATTTTCTTAAATAATCTGCTTTGTTACCTAACCTTGGTAGGCAGAAAAAGTTA